CCAATGAAGTTCTAGGTCTACTGGGGACCACGAGCCAAAACTTGGCCCTCCTCAGAGGCACAATGAGCAATGGCCTATAGAAACTTCTGTGTGGTTGGAAGCATTCTATGTCTGTTATCGACCGAGTCAGGCACCCAGAACGGTAGGCACCCTAAGACAAACCCTATCTGGTTAAAATATTGCTGCTGAAACCTGAACCGTTGGACAGAACTCCTCAAACAAAAAAATATCAAACGAGCATGACTGTCAGAACCATCATCGTACTGCTGTCTGTGCAGCTTACCCCTCGGGGTAAGGGGAGCACCAGACCCCTGCGCCGCCTATCTAACCCGTTCTGTGGCTGATGTGAGACCAGGCGGTCGTGCGACTTTGTCTCCCGACTCTATTCATTGCTGTACCTTGTGGTGTAGTCCTGTCTTGTGGTGGTGTGTGAGCCAGGAGTAATTTCACCACTACTCGGGCTGCATGTGTCAAGGGTTACCCTCCCTAGGTGCCCTGTAAGTACTGCTCTAGTGGCTTGGGGTTATTTTCCACAAGTTGCTTGGAGGCTACCTCCACTGAGGTCTCTTACTGCTCTGTAATTGTCTGCCCTTGGAGTCAGCTGGGGTGTTGCATGCACCTCTTTTTGCCTCTGGATAGGTGGTGGTTTTGTGATTGGTTGGTAGGGACGCAAGGTACTGTGCAGCTGTTCTTCACCTGATATAGTGGTCGGCTCTATTTTGCCTGAGTATGTTGTACTTGTAAGAGGTTTTTCTTCTTGTTTTGGTTTTCTGCCTGGTGGAGGGCAGTGATTGATGTGATTGATGTTGTTGCCACTTATATATACAGTACTTTGTATTCTTGGTGGTCCTCCACTAGGTTCCTGTGTGTGTACACATCCCGAGGGTTCAGCTATTAGTAGTTTAAGCGGTAGTTTGTGGTGCAGGTTACCAGCACCTTGCCTGGGCTTTCCTTAGCCAGAGCATCTAAGGGCCCTGAAAAATCCCCCTGGGGCTCAGTGGTCCGATGGATGCATCCCCTGGGTCCCATCTCACTTTGTGAGAGTTTGAAAGTTGCTCTGCCCTCTTGTCTCATGGTGACAGTCACCTGTTTTGCCTCCGTCATGCTGCCTGTTGGGCCGGTGACATCTTCGACCCGGAGTTCTGCGAGTGGTGTTGCTTTCATGTCCTCCAGATCACCCAGTCCACTGATATTGATCTTAGGGTGCAGGCAGCTTCGGCGTTGCATGCACTTTATAGGTTACTGCAGCGCGCTAGGTAGGTTGCTCACCCAGATGCCCCGAGACTGCCCCGTTTTGGTTATAGGGACCTGGACTTTGGGATATTAGTCGCTTCGGCTTTGGTTTCGTCCGAACCCCTGCTTCCTTTCCCTGCTGTTGTTCGTTCTGCTGCTCCCCCCTTTCCCCCCTGCACCCAGTTCCGAAGCGTCTTGAGGGTTTCGGAGTCGGGGCAGGGTTTAGTTGGTGGTGAGACTCGGGGCATCCCCAAAACTACCAATCCGGTGTGGAGATAGAGGCATTTGAGCCTGTTGCTCCTGCTGGTGTGTTTGGGTCTAATCAGTGTTCCCCCATCTTTCCTGCTTTTCCAATGGAATCTGCTTTTTCTTTTGAGGCAAAGGTTTTTGAGGACAACTCGGTAGCAATTCCGGGTGTTGAGGTTCCCCGGGGCGGGGAACCTCAACACCAGGACCCGGGCGTGCAGTATCTGCAAGCAGCTTCTAGTTGTCGTCCCATGTTGGATTTGTTGGTCTCCAGGGGGGCTGTGGGAGCCCTTCCCGGAAGGGTTGTGCCAGGGCTTGGGGTTCCTCCCATTGTGGTAAGCCAGTTTGAGCTGGCGCAGCCTTCGGAGCCGGTGATATCTGGTCGGCGCGGTGATCTCTGCTACTCGTCGGTTTGTCCCATTGATGGGGTGATGGGGGGGGGGCTCATGCCATTTGCTTACGCCTGGTCCCACGATTTGTGAACATTTCAGGTCATTTATTGCGGCCTGCGGTGGCATTGGGTGGTCCTCCTCATTTGGGGTGGTTCGGGGCTGGTGGGGCAGGCCTCCTCTCCTGCACTCTGTTAGGTCATCTTGGAGTGGGTTTGCTTGGGCATGGTTGAAACGTCTTCGTCCCTCAGGTGGGTTTTCCCTGGTTCTGAACTGGTTCTTCTCCAGTTCTGAAACAGGAGTGTGCTGACCTGCAGTTCATTCTGGACTTGTCCTGTCTAAACCCCTAGGTCTGTTGCCCCTCCTTTCAGATGACTACTGTCCTAGACCCAGCTTCTTTTGGAGTCAGACACTTGAATGGTGTCCCTGGATCTCCGGGACTCGTATTGACATGTCCCGATTTATCCGGGGTTCAGGGACTGGCTCGGTTTTGTTGTGGGGCCCTCATGCTTTCCGCTGTCATTGCCTTCCATTCGGCTTGAATCTGGCACCTCGCGTGTTCACATACCCTACCCAGGTGGTGGTGGCGGCGGCCCGTCTGCATCTCTTAGGGGTTCGGGTTCTAGCCAGTCCACATGTCTGCTCGCCAGGGATTTGGTTCTTTCCCAGTTTGCCGGGTTTGGGTTCTTTGTGAACTGGAGAAAGTTGCATCTGGTTCCCACCTAGGTTCGGACTTGGCTGGTTCTTGTGTGGGACTCTTGGACCGCTTCCTTGTCTCTCCCTCTGGAGGCTCTTCTGTGGCTGCAGTCCCACCTTCAGCTGTTTCTGGAGGGGTCCTGTGTCACGAGGCGGTTGCTTGAGGGTTTGTGCGGGAGTCTGAACTTTGACGTGTTCGGGTTTGTCTTCGTTGGCTGTTTTGGTTCCATCGGAGACATAACTTCTGCCTCTCTCACGATTGCTAGGTTTGGCCTCCGGGTGCCTTATGTCGGCTGCTGCGTCGCCGGCTTCCTCTGCGAATTTTTCTAGATTCACTGCCTTGGCGCCTACCTGAGCCCTCGCTCAGTGTTCACGGACGTGTCATCTCTTGGCTGGGGCTTTGTGACCAGTGCTCGTCAGGTCAGCCAGGGGCGATGGGGCCCATCCCATTACTTCTGAGGGTTTGGGTCGCTCAAGATTTGACTGTCCGGCTCCATTCGGACTGCTTCCCGGTGGTTCAAGGAATGCTTGAACTGCGGTGGGGGAAGGGGGGGTCGATGCGATCTATGGCTCTTTAGGGCTGGTCGCTTCGGGTGACTCGTGTGCCGAGTTCTCAGGATTTGGCTTTCCTTGCGGTCAACATTCAGGGGGTGGCCAATGTCCTGGCTGACGGCCTGTTAACGGTTCATTCCCCTATCTACGGAATGGACAGTCAACGCCGACTCATTTAATTGGCTCTGCTAGATGTAAGAGCTTCCGGAGGTGGACCTCTTGATGGAACACTTTCCTGCTTCCTTTTGTCCAAATTTTGTTGTCCCACTTAGTCTAGCACTTTCTTGTCGATTGCCCTGATTTTCAGGATGTTTGTGTGGCTTGCTTTCCTAATGTCCCTGGGTCCGTTATCTCTTGTTAGCATTCTTGGTGAATCGGTACCTTTAATATCCTTCTCTTTGTGTCTGTCTGTTCTCGTATAGTATTTTGAGTGATATTTAGTGTATTTGTTAATACTTTGCAACTTCAGTGGTGCTATAGTCATACTCGCTTGGTGCCTTCTTTGATAATTAAGTACTTACTGCAGTCTCGGTTAGGTCTGCCTTGTTTTTTTTGTCAGTTGTTTCTCGATTGGCACCTTATGCCGAATCCTGTTGCCTCTTATCATTTGGCACCAACCTGCAGTATGGCCTTGGGCTTGATCACAAGTACGCTGCATTATTTGCATTTTCTCCAACATGTCCTCGGCAGATATTCAGGACTGGGGGTTTTGGTGTTTTAATAGGAGTGAACTTGGTCCCATTTGGTCATGTGTAGTATTGGGCTGCTTTCCCTGGCCTGAGTTTTCCTTTTAATCTTGATATCTGCTATCTCTCCTTCCTGGTAAGCCCTGTTTTTGTTCCCTGCAGTTAGTTAACTTCAGGGAGGTTATACTTTATACTCCTGGAGGAACTCCCTCCAGAAACCCAGAGCCGAGTATGATGAAACGCCTCTTTCTGGAGGAGCCTCGGTGGTGCCCTGTCACCCTCCATCCAGGTTCATTGGTTCATCACGAGGCTGTTCATTGGCTCTAGAACTGACCTTGGAACCCCTCTGAGGGCTGGGGGGCCAGGCTGCCTGATGGTGGTGATCAGCACCAGTGAGTTTTGAGCTAGTTTGAGTGAATCCCTTGTTCTATGTGAATTGTTTGCACAGTTTTGAGGCTTCATTGTCTGGGAACCCCACCAAGTGTCTGTAAGGTTGTGCTGACTTACTGGGTTCTTTTTCTGGTGAGGTGATGCTCTATGAGGAATGGGACAAAGTTCTAGCTCTGGTTCCTTGTAGTCTAAATAGAACTACTGCGATTGATGATGACCTTTCTGTATGTAGCAATTTCAGCAAGGTGGCTTCAGAGAACTACTGGGGTTCCTTCAGGAAATGGAATTTCATTACATTTAAGGCTGGGTTTTTATTAGTAAAAAATTAAAATGGTTTAATAGTACTGTATGCAGTAGTGATCTTTGCTTCCATCATAAAAAAATATTAGGAACAGGAAGTGATGTTCAACATTTAAGACTTAGTTTCTTGATTAAAAAAAAAGGCAACACTGATTCTTGTAGAATGAGATATAATTAAGCTACCCCTTTTTAGTGTTTGGAATTTAGGCCTTAATCCAGTTTCTGATTTTTGGGTGGCTATAAATAGGAGCTGCCTTGTATGGGCCAATAGGCCTTCTGCAGTTAGTTTCATTCTTACATTCATACTTGTGTTGCTTCCTTAATTATGCATTGTAATTTTGCTCCTATATATTTATTGTGTAATAAAATACATTAGCTTTTAACAATGTTGCCCTTTTATAAATCTGAATGTAATTGCATTTATTTTTGTATTGGTAAGATACCGAGTTAAGATGAAATACGACTCCTTAAGTATTCCTGGTTTCATGATATTTGCCATAAATTTCAGTGATGGTGAAACGAGCAACGGGAATGACTACCGTCACTATAGTGCCTCATGTAATAGCTACACTTGTTAAGAGCATTCACAAGCTTAATCCAAATTATGCTCAAAGATACCCACAGGTATGTTTGTTTTTGGTTTTCTTCTCAATATTACGATACTCTTCAGAGTAGGTCTTTGTTTGAGCTTCTGTATGATGTACTATATCTAAGTATGTCTTGTTAAAATGTTGACCAGATTAGTTAGTATGATAGTGCTAAGATTCTAAAGTGTGTGTCAGGTATTGAAGTTTTTTAATTTAATTAATTATACTCATTAAACAAAGCGGGAATATAATCTGTATGTACAAGAGAATGCTTGTCTAGTTTCCTCTGTCTGTGTTTGTATGTCCGTGGTTGGAGGCCAGATGCTTAAGGTTAGCCTCACTCAATATCAAGTCTGTCTCAAACCTGTTCCTTTGAGGAAAGCAAGAAAGAGGTCCAGCATAGAAAGAGAATGCAGACGATAATATAAATGGCGAAGAAACATAACGGAAATGCTTATGCAGGCAAGACTTTTCCTTAAAAGGAATAATTTAAACAGGGAGATTGAAGAAATTGAGCAGAAACTGAAACACTATCAGATTTAGGAAAGACAACTAGAACAGAAAGTTAACTTACACTTTTGCTCGGTAACGACTCAGCATTGCGTCTTTTTTTTTAGTAGATGCATTTCCGATAATGATGCAGCATTGCGTCGGCGGCGGCTTCGGGAGGGGCCCGCCTTGGTTTTGGATATTATATGCATATACTCCTGTAGGGAATTTCATTGCGAATACATCGATACCAAAAAAAAAGGCCTAGGAACAGAAATGAGGTAACAAAGTTGAAAACAGTATACCCATTTTATTAGCACTCGCTAGGATTACGCTCCGTTACTTTCTCTGTTTGCTGTGGGTGGTACGCCTGGCTTTTGGACTTTATATTTGCATATACTCCTGTAGGGAATTCTATTGCGAACACAATGTTACCAAAATGAAAGACCTAGGACGAGAATTGAGATGTTCAAAGTGAAGAGAGAGTGCACATTTTATTGCTCCTGCATGGTTCTGGGTAATAAGCTCTTACTTTCTCACTTTCTTGCTGAGCTTTTGGGCTTTATATACATTTAGTCTTGTAGAGAATTCTATTGCGAACACATTGATACCAAATTGAAAAGCCTAGGACGAGAAATGAGATAAAAAATGTGGAAAAGAGAATACACTCGTCAGTATTACCGCGCGCACTAATGTAATGAGAGGCGCCTTGGGGTGGTGCAGTGCTCTTTCTGGGCCACTTTCATCTTATCGGCGGGTGGAGCGCGCTGCGTTTTTTTTACTTTATATACATATACTCTTGTTGGGAAATCTATTGCAAACACAATGATACCAGAATGAAAGCCCTAGGACAGGAATTGAGGTGACAAAAGTGAAAGAGTGTACACATTTTATCGCTCTTGCGCGCTCATGGGTAACACGCACTCACTTTGTTTGTTGTGGATGGTACACCGGACTTTATATGCCTTTAGTCCTGTAGAGAATTCTATTGCGAACACAATGATACCAAATTGAAGAACCTTGGACGAGAATTGAAAGTGACAAAGTTGAAAAGAGCATACACTTTTCAGAATTACCGCGCGCTCCTGTGAAACGCTGAGGCCCACCCGGGGTAGTGCGGGTCACGCGCGCGCGGTGCAATAAAGTGTTAAGAAATAAAGAAAAACCCAAAATATTTCTTCACATATGCGAAATCAAAAGCAAAAAACACTGCCAGTATTGGACCTATTTGTACGAGTGAAGGTTCATACACGGAGGATAACGAGGAAATTAGTGAAATTCTAAAAAAGCAGTACGAGGACATGTATAGCACTCCAATAAACAGCATGAAAGTGGAACACCCGGACAACTTCTATATGCGTGATATCCAAACCACTGAAAATATAACTGATATCAATACAAGTGTGGCAGATATTGAAAGAGAAATTGAACACATGCCCATGCATGTGTTCGGCCCCGGGTCCAGATTCATGGAATTCAATATTTATAAAGATTTGCAAAGTGCCGATAGATAGTACAGATACTAAGTATAGTGTGGAGGAAGAGCTTGGACACGGATGCGCTTAAAGCAGCAGACATAACACCTCTACACAAGGGTGGGAGCAAAGCATTGACAAAGAATTATAGACCAGTTGCACTAACATCCCACATAATAAAAGTATTTGAGTGTGATTAGGAGTCGGGTTATTAGTTTTGAGACCAATGACCTTCACAAACCCAGGCCAACATGGATTTAGAGTGGGAAGATCGTGCCTCTCACAGCTACTTGATAACTGCGACAAAGTCACTGAGGCATTAGAAGAAAAACAGAATGCAGATGTGGTATACACGAACTTTGCAAAGGCATTCGATAAATGTGACAGTGTAGTGATAGCACATAAAATGAGGTCAGTGGGAATAACTGGTAAAGTAGGATGCTGAATACTTGGTTTTCTGTCGAACAGAACACAGAATAAGTCAACCATATAAAATAGTCCAAGTGCAGTTAACACTTTGGCTCGGTAATAACGCAGCATTGCGTAACTTTTTTACTCTAGGGTAGTCCGGTAATGACGCAGCATTGCGTGATTTCCGGCGGCAAATTGGCGACAGTTTTGGGAAGGGCGTGCCGCGGTTTTGGACATTATATGCACACACACCTGTAGGGAATTTCATTGTGAATACAATGATACAAAAATGAAAGACCTAGGACCAGAATTGAGGTAACAAAGTTGAGAAGAGTATACCCATTTTATTGCTCTTTATTAGTGCTCACTGGGTTATGCACCGTCACTTTCTCTGTTTGCTGTGGATGGATGCTGGGCTTTTGGACTTTATATTTGCATATACTCCTGTAGGGAATTCTGTTGCAAACACAATGACACAAAATTGAAAGATCTAGGACGAGATTTGAGATGTCCAAAGTGAAGAGTGTACACATTTTTTTTGCTCTTTCGCACTCCTGGGTAACACATTTTCACTCTCACTTTCTCGCCGGGCTTTTGGGCTTTATATGCATTTAGTCCTGTAGAGAATTTTATTGCGAACACATTGATACCAAATTGAAAAACCTAGGACGAGAATTGAGATGACAAAGTTAAAGAGAGTATACACATTTCGGTATGACCACTCTCTCTATTGTAATGAGAGGCGCCTTGGGGTGGTGCAGCACTCTTTCTGGTAACTTTCATCTTGGCGGCGGGTGGAGCGCGCTACTGTTTTTGACATTATATGCATATATTCCTGTTGGGAATTCTATTCCAAACACATTGATACCAAAATGAAAGACCTAGGACGAGAATTGAGGTGACCAAAGTGAAGGGACTGTAAACATTTTATTGCTCTTTAGCCATGCTCCCGGGTAACATGCTCTCATTTTCTCTGTTGCGGATGGTACGCCGACCATTTGGACTTTATATGCCCTTAGTCCTATAGAGAATTCTATTGCAAACACATTGATACCAAAATGAAAGACCTAGGACAAGGATTGAGGTGACCAAAGTGAAAGGAGTGTACACCTTTTATCGATCCTGCGCGCTCCCGGGTAACATGCTCTCACTTTCTCTGTTTGTTGCGGCTAGTATGCTGGGCATTTGGACTCGATATGCCTTTAGTCCTGTAGAAAATTCTATTGCAACCACAATGATACCAAATTGAAAAACCTAGGATGAGAATTGAGGTAACAAAGTTGAAAAGATTATACACTTATCAGAATTACCTCGCGCTCCCGCGGAATGCCCAAACCCACCCGGGGTAGTGTGGCGCATGTGCCCCCAGAGCATCAAAGTGTTAAAAGTTCTTTTCCTCAGGTTACAGTCCTTGCACCACTGCTTTTCCTTATTCTTATATCAGATATTGATAAAAATACAAGTCAAAGCTTAGTATCATCCTTTGCAGATGTCACAAAAATCAGCATGAAAATTATCTCTGCTGAAGACATTGAAAAACCTCAAGCAGATATTAATAAAGTTTTCGACTGGGCAACAGAAAAAAACATGATATTTAACAGTGATAAATTCCAGGTACTCAGATACGGTAAAAATGAGGACCTTAAACATAATACAGGGTACAAAACACAATCAAATCTACCCATAGTAGGAAAACAGCACATAAAGGGAATATTATTTGGGAATATTTACAAATACATTAATACATTATAGGGAATACATTATTTGGGAATAATGATGTCTGACAACCTAACGTTTAGGGAGCATAACCAAGCAAATGTTGCATCAGCCAGAAGAATGATAGGATGGATTATGAAAACTTTCAAATCTAGGAATCCCATCACAGTAGTTGTACTATACAAATCACTTGTACTGTCCCATCTTGAGTATTCCCCCTTCAGAGCAGGAGAGATTGCTGAAATAGAGGGAATACAAAAGAACATGTACGGCATACATAGACGCGATAAAACACTTAAATTATTGGGATCGTCTCAAAGCTCTCCAGATGTACTCACTAGAAAGGAGACGAGAGAGATATAAAATATACATGTGGAAAATACTGGGGGACCAGGTCCCAATTCTACTCGGTAAAATAACAACATTCTGGAGTGAATGATATGGAAGAAAATGCAGAATAGAACCAGTGAGGAGCAGGAGTGCCATAAGCACAATCAGAGTACTGCATGAACATCAGAGGTCCACAGTTGTTCAACGTCCTCCCAGCGCAACTCGTCCTCTTAAAAATGTCACTTTTGGCTTGTATGCACGCTATGGCCAAAAGTGGAAGTAATTTGAAATGAAATTGGCTCACGAAAGTGACGTACTGTCCCTTTTCTGTTTGAGTTGTTCGGCTTACTCGGAAAGGTTAGGAGAAGAAACTTTCAATTAATGGTTTGCATAACGTTTTGAAACTTTGAGAATTTCCTGCCCACCTAACCTATCAGAGGACCCTTAACTAACTGTTCTTGAAAAAAAAATTCTAAATTTATTTTGATATTTTATATTTT